CCCCTCCCCCCGCATTGACCGAGGTCCTCCCGCCCGCCTGCCCTTGTGGGGTGCCCATCGGCCGTGTACTGCGGCGCCGGTGCAGCAAAGGGTCGGTCAAAACTTGTCCGAGCGTGATATTGTGGCACATACTCGTTGTCAATAATACGCTCTCCAAACTTTAAAAGTTTCCCTCCCTTTTCAGTGGTTTTGACAGAGCGCTGTCGAAAAAGCGTTCAGTTCGGCCCAAGGGCAGGGCGCGGACGGTTTTTCGGGCGTTCAACATCACAACGAAACTGGCCACCGCAAATGTATTACTTAATATCGCCATATGCCAAACGTCTTTATTCAACTTCGCTTCACCGCTAAAGAAAATAAAGCGTGTTTGCCTTTTTATATTTTTTTTAGTTATCGGTATGCATTGCAGCAGGTGCCACAATATTTCACCCCTTTGATCCCAATTACCCAAAATCAACTTTCCTACCAAGTAAAATCTCTGTAACCTATGTATCGGCAAGCCAAAGGAGGCTCGAGGTTTTATGGTCGTCGTCGTCATGTGTGTGTGTGTGTGTGTGTGTGTGTGTGTGTAGGTGTGTGTGCGTGTGCGTGTGTGTGCGTGTGTGTGTGTGTGCCTTTTATCCTGCGTCAGAGAGAGAGAGAGAGAGAGAGAGAGAGTGAGGGGTGGAGAGTGATAGGAGCACGAGTCTGTATTTGCGATTCGCACCTCTACCTCGCTTTGACCCCGCGGTATGAAAAGGACCCCCTCCTCGCGCTGCAGCATCTCAATGGGAAGCATCGTCTCCCCCCTCTCCGTGTTGTGTACAAGGCACACGTGGCTGGGGCGCTCGTGAGGGGCATTCCTTGCTCCAATTATCTCCTGGGTGTCGCCTTTGTTTTTCTTCCCTTTCACATTATTCGCCACGGCATTCTTAACTCTCCCCCCCCCCCTCACCTCTCTCTCCTCTACCTCCGTCCCTGCCGCTCTCCTTTAGCTCTCCCGCTTCTGGCCACGCTGGTCGCGTTTCGTCGTGTGTGACAAGAACGCATTAATGACAATATGTCGACACGACGCCATCTCCGCATCCTTTATCCACGAATTCCATGGCATGATGCGCAATGCCAGACGGCAGATATATATTTCCCCCCATGTTTTTCAAAAGCTTTGCAACTTTGCGAGATTGTAATTTTTGAAATTCCTGGCGTGACGTTTTCGTGCAGCGCTATGTGGTTCTGTGGCGCAAGAGAGTGGCGCCTTTGGTCGACCGCGAGTGTAGAGTTCTTTTTTGTTGATAATTAATGAGGTCTCTGCACGACGCCGACGCGGGTTCATACTTACAAACCGATGCGACGCCCCGTTCTGACGCGACCGCTCGGCGCCACGCGTCCCAAAACTCCCCTTCTTCTCTTTAAGTAATTCATCGTGAAAGTGTCGTTGTTTTGAAAGGGGGGCGTTTAATAAAACACCAGCTCTGCCAAGGAAAGAAAACCGTTTACTCGGATAAGAAAAAGAGAGATAGTATAAAAATTAAAGTCGAACTAGATCGATTTTGTACTTAGCCAACACTATTGGGTTCAATTAAAAGTCTACGCCATAACTTGAGGTACGGTGGAAGAAGTAGTCACAAAGTTTGCTTTTGTTTTACAAACGATGTGAAAAGTTAACGGGGCATTCTACGATATCCTCCCCGGCTTAGCCCGGGACCACGCGAGGCCCTATACCGCCCCGGCGTTGGGAGTGACCCCTATAAATTTGATTCGTAATGAGGAGTAATTGCGGTGGGGCCCCGGGGGCGGGTGCGCCAATCCTCGTTGCGGAAATACCCCGCGCCCAGCGATACCCCACGCAGTTCCAGGGGCGGAGTATATTCATCTCCTGTCGCCAAAAAAGGCTTGCCGTTTTCAGGGAACAATCGAAGGTTCATTTTTGACTGTTTTAACACACTAAGGAAACGTTTCGAACAAAAATTTTAGTTCTGCGGAAATGATGCAAAATCTGGCCATGTTCTGAAAATTTTCACTTATATTATTACTCGTGTTCACAGGTTCTCGAGACCCGACTTGTCCCTGATCCAGCTGTAGTGTTTGGGGATGCTGGTGAAGACGCCCGGATACGAGCCGCACGGCTTCTTGGACCAGGACACGATTCCAACGACGAAGCCGTCGGCGAATAGCGCGCCGCCGGAGTCGCCCTGTGAACGGAGGGACGGGAACGTTTTAGCTTTCCGGCACGAACAGTATTCGGACCACCTTCTGGGAGGTTATGGCCACCGACTGGTCACCTTGCACTCGGCGTGCAGCCCCGACGTGGCCGCGGCGCAGATCTGGTCGTCGCGGATCGTGGCGTAGCCCTGGAGTGGCGCCTGGCACGCGGTTCTACTCAGCACGTTGAGGTTGGTGTACTCGAGCGTGTTGCTGGAGACGACCAGGTCGTTCTGGTGGCAGTTGGTAAGGTGGCTGTAAGGCTATTTGACGACGTCGGTGGAAGTGTTGCTGTTGAATGACTAACTTACGTTGGTCTGCCCCCAGCCAGCCACCGTCACGAGGTCGCCGTCCTTCGGGGACACGTTCTGGAGCGACGCCACCAGGACGTTGTCGTTGAGTGCGATCGGAGAGGCCAGCTGCACCAAGGGGTAAGTGTACTAGTCGTCTCCATGTCTTACCCCGCTAGGCACAGTCTCGCATCACTCACGTTGATGAGCGCGATATCGTGCGGCAGCGTCGCTGCGTCCGGGTCGTAGTCCTCGTGGATCTCGTAGCCGGCGATGGGTACGCGGATGGCCGTGGAGGCCGGCGAGGCCAGGTCCACGGTGCCGGCCAGGATGGTGAGGGCGGCGGGGTCGACCCTTCAGGCACAAGAGGTAAACTGTTTCATATACCCCGCGCTGTCGCCTCGGGGTCCCGACGCTGCCGCCGCGCCCGGCGCTACCCCGCGCACTGGGGGGGCGCGGGCGATACTCACTGGTCCAGGCAGTGGCCCGCCGTCAGCACCCACTGCTGGTCGATGAGGAAGCCCCCGCACAGGTGCTGGTATTCAGTGTCGCCGTAGCCCGCCTGGATGGAGACCTGCCGGGGAAGGGACAGAGTCGTTTTGGTTGGGATTCCAGCAGCGGTTATGAAAGCGGGTCTGTTTTCCGCCTGGACGGTTCTCTTACCAGTTCGGGGAACTGTCCCAGGTCGGCGTCGTCGCCGCCCACGATGAAGGGCGATATGGCACTGCCACCTGGAACAACACAAGGGGGGGAATGGAAATGTTGAGACTTTGAGACAGAGTCCAGTTCCCCCACTATCGCGCCGCTTGTGCCATATACCGTCTCCACGTAGAGCTTCTCATACAAGTGCTGGGGCAGGAGAAGGGGAGGGCTGAGTTGGCGTCGACAATGTTCGCGCGTCAAGTGCGGTGGTGTCGCGGAGAGTTTAGTGTTTGGTTAGTGTTAGTTTCAGGGGTTGGGGAGGGCGGGAGAAGGGGATGGGGGGCGTTGGCGATGAGGCCCGTTTCACACCGTCTGGGAAAAGTGAAACCTCTGCGTGAGACCCCCTGCCCCCTTGCCCAACGTCTGCCGTTAGTTAACCCTGTGGTCTCCTCTGCGAAGGTGACGACGGCAGGAGATGAGGGGGTGGGGAGGCAGGTGGGAGCTAATGAGAGAGTTGGGAAGGTGGGGGG